AGGCCGGGAGGAAAACAACAAGATGGCGGCGCAGCGGCCAGGGTGCGGTTCCCCCGGCGCCCCTGGGGCCGGGGGTCCCTTAAAGGGCGGCGACCGGGGGCAGGGCGGGACGAGCCGGATGGCGCGTTGGAGACGTGCTAGGCCGTCTCACATGCTAGGCTGTCTGTTGGAAGCCACGCGGCTGGTCCTGGGTCGAGAAGCAGACAGCCGCACGTGCCAGGCGGACCGGGCCCTGGGCACCCCCGAGGGTCCCCCAGAAGCCGCTGGCCTGCTCCTCGGTGCCCATTGTTTGCTGCGCCTTGCTCACTATAAGCAGGACGGCAGAAACGCCTTTCTCTGGGCGTTTTCTTGCTGAGGGAGAGAGACGGTGCTGCAGATCGTGCAGGGCGCAGCCTAGTTGGATTCAACTGCATTCTCCCCTCTTTTCGCAGCAATTTTGCTTACCGTTTCCTGCCTCTGTCCAGAGGGTTAGAACATCCTCCCTCCCTGGTGGGGAACGACCCTGAGTGAGCTCTAGGCCTTCCAGGAGCTTCCCCGCCCTGCCCAGTGTTGCTGGAATTGGTTTGTGCACAGGAGCTGCTCTGGGGACAAAGGAGGTGTGACAGAGCCCGAAGTTCTGTTATTTTATCGCACCTCCTGGGCTGGCTTTTCAGAAAAGAAAATGTAGATGTTGGTGGCTGTGTATTCTGTAATGTAGTGCGTTAGTGTGCACGGCACTTAGATGGAGGCCCGAGGCTTCCCCTTCGAGTCCGTGCGCCCAGCCCTTCAGTCTCCGCCCGGTTAATTTTCATTCCTCATCGCCCTTTTACTTTGAGTTTGGGACGTAAAAGAGCCAGTGTGGGTAAAAATAGCACATGCCATTCGGCTTGCGATGGTATATTTAGCATAAAGGAGACATTTGTCCTTGGTTTTATTTATAAGTTTGTCCACTTAGAGTTGGGATCCAGATTCTCATTGTGAGACTACTGGAAAGGCTCTGACATGATGTGCCTTGGTTCGTTTATTCTTGTAATAAAACTTGCTCCCCAAAGGTTTGTGAGGTTTAATTAATAAAAATTTCAGAATTTAATAATGGCCCCGAATAACTATGTCCTACAGGAAAGATTACTTTCTTTATGAAGGAGGGATTCCTTATGGTTTCCTCAGTCGGCTAGGGATTTTAACATTTGTACTCTAATCAAAACTGCATTGCTATTGACAGATTAGAAAGGGTATGATGTGATCAGGAGGTGGGGGAAAGGGTCAAGGCTTTCACTTTAAGGCCCAAGCAGAGGTCTGAGAGAATTTCCCTTCAGCCACTCCATTTTGTATCCACCCCCTCAGAGGTTTCACTTCAAACGCCATCATTTGGCAAAGAAAGACTGGACTAAATTTCAAAGGATCCCTTCACCTGGAGGATAAGAACCCCTTCCCTCAGCCTGGGAAAAGAATGCAGCATGCTGCTTAGCAATTCCTCAAAAGGAGGCTGCTTCATAGTGTCCCTATATTTTGCAGGATTACCCCCCTTTTTGTCTCCTTTTGTGCACAGGATTCAGATAGAAAATTGGGCGTTTATTTTTTGCAAAAGCAATAAAGAGACAAGCACAAGAATTAGAAAGCATCCTGAGCCCTTAGGTTGTGGTTGTTTGCCTCCAGTTTCATTATCACTGCCTTTTGATAAAAGAAAATGTAGTTTAAATTTTCAAATATTTTATTATAGCAAATTTGATTTCTTGAACTAGAAAAACAGTAAAGAAAGGTAAAATGACTTATAATTCAGGTACTGCCCTTGCAGGCATAGATTTCAGTTTGTTTTGGGGGAGACTGTGGTGTGTACAATTTGGTACCTTCCTTACTGACCTTTTAAAAATACATTGTTTTAGTTCCTATTATGTAAAGCAAATTATGCTCAACAGAAAACATAAATACAAGAAAAAAGTCACCCAGAATGCCACTACCAAGAAATAAGCAATATTTAACAAATTGTGTTTGTCTTAAAATAATACTATATCTAGTTTTGCAACACAATTTATATTTAGCCACATATAATGTACATTTTCTTATGTCAAATAAGAGTACTTCTGTGTGAAAAGCTTTTTGCATATTTTTGTAAAATAAGGTTATAATGAATCTGACTATTTTAAGGTTCATTGATACATATTTGACTCCCCAAATTGTTGGGTTAATGGTGTTCCCTCCAGAGTCTTCTAATTACTGTGCGTCAGCATTCCACCTGAATTCAAATCCCACCTCTTCTATATTGATTATCCCCACTCATCTACACTTACTCTTTTAAGTTATAAATCATATATTGCTTGTGTGCTGTTTTTGATATGGGTATGTGTCTAGTAAGTACCACACATGAATGTCTAACTTCAAGTAAAATATTTAAAAGGAATTATTTTACTGTCAACCTATTACAATATAGAATCTGCTTTTCCTTTTAATTAGTTCATTTCTTTGTAAAGATGTCATTCAAAAGAAACAAATTGCTGAAGTTTTTTTCCAATGTGCAGCAAATACACAAACTTTGAAGTTCCCCCAAAGTATCTAATGTGAATGAATGTTATTTATTTAGGCTAAAGACCTCTAAACACATATTAACGTGCTGTCATTTTATTAGCTATTTTCAATTGTTTTACTGTGGATACACTACTAGATCCTTTACAGTGACAGGAAAGACAGCTCTGTTCAAAGCAAGGTGGCCAAGTAGTTCTGAGTTTTCTCTATATTAGTGTAATGATGCTTGGATACTCCTTACCAGGAAACCATTGCACAGTCTGATCTAAAATTAAACTCTCTTTCCCACAATCCTTCCTTTGCTGTCTAAAAATGATTTAGTTCTACCAAAAAGCAAAGAGGGATAAAACAAATTCATGAATAATGGGAAATACTTAGAATAAGATACATTCGACGAGAAAGAACACAGTTCAAAAACATTTATTTGAGAGGATTTGATGCATTAAAAGCTACCATATATGGCAATCATTTTTCTCTAATAGGTCTTCCTTTTGGTGACATACCCCAGCGCAGAGCCTTATCTCTGGGAGTACAGTGTTTGATGCCAGTTACGAAACAGTTTAAATCTACAGATGCACAGCAATACACAACACACAATTTTTTTATTAGCTATGTCAGCACTGTGCATCTGAGATTAAAATCAGTTACCAGAGATTGAATGATTCACTGTGAGCCTTTGGAGACAGCTCTAGATTTGTTTTGTCGTTTAGATTTCAGAGCTGATACTCAAGACATCAAGTGAATGGATATTTTAAATTTAGTTCTTTTAAGGGTCAATTGACTTTGATCAGCTTTTGGAAGCTATATAGCTCTTAGAAACCTGTCTCCTAGAAGTTAAAGTGTAAAATCTGCTACTGATATAAATGAAGGGGGGGAGCATAGCAGGAGGAGGAAGACATTTTTTCTCAATATTTAAAAATTAATTGAAAGGAAAAGATCTTGTAAATTTGCCCCTTAACTCAGCTCTGCCAGAAATAAATGGGCAATCTTGGTCGCTTCATGTCCTAGACTCTAGGCCCCAGAGTCTTGGCTGCTATTTTTGCAAGCTGGAGGCACCTTCCAGTAGGGCCAGGGCTCTCCAGGCCTGTGCCTCACTATCTTCTAGTCTCCCCCCACTTTCCCTCTCTCCCCGAATCAAATAGCCCCGAAGGCCTGCTTCCCATCCTTTCAAGGCTCTATGGAGCAGAGGTTAAGAACTGGGGCACAGGACTCAGAAGAAGCCAGACTTGGGTTCCAGATCCATCATTTACAAACTGTGTGACCCTCAGGCAGGTCAACATCTTTGGGCCTCAGTTTCCATTCCCCAAATTGGGGATATTTCTTAGGATAGATTGATGGACACTACATACTGTCTGTAATAGCAAAAGATTGTAAAATCCTACATGTCCAATAGAA